GTACCAAGAGCGCACGTGAAGCAAAGCTGGGGGTTGACTTTTAAACAATCGTGGGATTGTACTTTACACACTGATCACCTTAGATCATCTATACAATGGCATATTATACCACTTCTAGACAAAGATTAAGAAAAAAATTGGTACATTCACGGTTTCAACAGAAATACATGATTTGTTTTTTCAGTTTCTACAGACAGACACAATCATACATATGGATAGATTATAAATCATTAAATAATTCTTTTCATTTGTATTTCATGATGAGTTTCACAATATGAGGATTCTCTGTTTCAATGTGCCATACAGTTTTGAACCACATAAAGCAATGTAATATAAAATAACATAAAGGTGAAAGCAGACAGGTCACACGGCAGTTACATCAAATATGCCACTCAAAGCAGGAGACGTGACATGGTTCATTTCTACACAATAAGCAGCTTTGGAGGAAGGACATCAGGATAAGAAGGGGAGGTAGGTACTTTTAAAAATTCAAAATCATTTTATCAGGAATTTTATAAGCAAATTACTTCACGTAGTTTTTCAATTTCAGTTAAATTACAAAAAGGTTTTATCCAGGATTTGTGAAATTTGTGTGGGAAACTCAGACTATGTTTTAAAGTTGATCCAGATAAAGGGTAATTTGACCATTACTGGTAAAGATTATTTTTGATTCAACTACTTGAATAAGGGAAGATTTTAGGGCTAATTGATTTTTCTTTTTAATCAGCAGCAGGTGAAAAGTTAACCAATAGATTAAGGGTCTCTATTCATTGACCACAAGCACTTAAGAGAGAAATTTTTCTACTTTGTATGTCTCAGTGCTTCTTAATTTGAAGTCACAGCATAAATCTAAGGTGTCCATGTGGACTAAACAGTGGCTGGTGTGGTGCGACCCTTAGCCATAAACTCAGAACACAGGTTAGATTACAGATTCTCTACATCGAAAAAATTCGTATTTGGTGGGCTACTCTCAGCATTTTATAGAATCTTGAAATGCCCAAACCTCTGGAAATGTCCTATTTTATATCTTTTGCCTTTCCTTGAAATAGATACCACAAGGCTCTCAGACCAAAATTCCCCTTCTTAAAAAGCATAAGCTTGGGCAGAAAACTCCTGTTTGATTCGCAGGTGATATGTATGGTAATCTTAGGCTAAGTTTAGGCCATAATTATAAATAGAACTTCTGATTACATCACAAGGTCTGAAGTCATCATTCAGTATTTTTAAGTTTCTGCTTAAGACATCCAGGACTGAGTCACCAATGTAGCCTGGATTTTTAAATGATCTTTGACTTCATTAACGGAGCTAGAATCTTTAAGCATGCAAAATCTTTCAATGAGGTAACATGTGACTCTCAACCTGGGCCTATCAGTGTGGCTGATTGAACATTGACTCCATCCATGCAGGACCAAGTAATACTGGCTTATGAATAATTTAGTTTTTTATAGTTCCTATTTTTGCAATGGCACATAATTACCTCTTAGAAAAAATATAGTGAGGGTAGAGTGAGAGGATAAAATGTCTACAAGTATGAAAAGCTAACAAGAGAAGCAAGGAAGTCAAATCTGACTTGGAGGAACAGAACTCTGTTTCTCCCTTAAGCATTGTTATAGCCACACCGTTCACAGCTTCAGGCCAAGGGCACATCAGTAATGCTTTCCTGCGCTGCTCTTGGGATGCTGACTTGAGACTGATTGACTATGATTCATGATTGACTATGATTCATGAGACTGATTGACTATGATTCCTGAGAATCATAGATGGTTTGAGTGGGGAGGGGTCTTAGGAATATTTTAGGTGAACCCACTTATTTAACAGGTGAGGAAACCGTGGGTAGAGTTTAAAGGACTTGCATAAGGTCACTCAGCCTGTTCTGTGGCAGTAATACAACCTAGACATGGAGAGAGAGCACTCAGCACACTTCTCTAGTGATAGCACACTTGTGTTTGTGCTGAAAAGGCAGAAAAAGAAGTGCATTCATTGAAGTACATACGAGACTTCCATCAATGGCAAATCTGCATTAGCAATGCTGGGAATGGTAACCCAGAGTCACTTGCTTGATTCTGTGTGCAAAGTTCCATTGTGCATGCATTGTCTTTTTCAGACCCAGATGTGCAATTTGAAGGTATTCAAAAGTGCATCATCAATATATTTTTAAACTGAGAGTCTTGAATCACGGGGTGGCAGGTTTACTTCCCCCACCCCACCCCCCATCCTAGCCAGCATCAAAGTGAGTTATGCTATTCACAACATCAGTTCCATGGTAATTCAATTAAATGACAAATTAAAACAATCCACTGAACAGCTGCTGGTTGGACCTTAGATCATTTAGTCATTCTCTTTTCTGGCTCCTCCCTGCATTTCCATAAATAAGCCGTTTTTTTCCCAATTGATACAATTTTCTTGCCAAAATAAAACTCTTTTCTTTATAAAAGTAAAGAAAGGCACTTTGTATAATGTGTACAATTCTGTTTCTTTCTTGTCTACTCTAAGGAAATAGGGAAGTTACTAAAGCAGGGTCAAGTCTTTCTGGAAGTATGGGGCAGGGGCGGGCAGCCTTGAGTAGCAGATTTCCAGATTTCCTCTCGGCCCCGGGAGCCCAGCTGCTCTGGATTTTCATGAACTCCCAGGATTCTCTGATTCAGTGGAGTCGCTGCAGAGTAATAAATTAAGCTTCTTGATCTTATAGAGGTGGTAAGGGATTAATCAATCCCCTTTGAACCAAACCAGCGAAAGCAAGTTTTCAGTACTGACTGCCTACCAGGAATGGTCTCAGGCACTTAGGAGAGTGTAGAGTTTGTAAAGTATCAATGACATGGCTGATAATCACTTGTGCTCATATTGGGGTGCATTAAACCCATTTATTAAAACTGAACAGAGAACATTTTGAGTTTGGGTCATAAGCCTCCACCAATCACCCATTGGCTTGTCCCAGTTACAAAGTGCTTAGTAACTCGAATACTTAGGTGTTTGTGTATAAAAATATGACTTTTCGTAGCTTGGAACATACGGTTCTTTCAACTAGTTGTGCAATGGTGGTTTGTGATCCGTGATGAGAGAAGAAACAAACAAATAAACCAGTATTGGTAACCAGATGTAAGAGATTTGGGATGACTGGACTCAACAAGGAATGAACATGGCTTGATTCAGTAAAAGATAATTTTTTTCTGAAAATTAAAGCCTCATTCAATGTCTTTAAAAAATATCTTATATCATTTCTCTCCACACAATTATTTGCCCATAAACAAACTGTACCAACATAATTAATGCGTGTGGGATATGTTAAGACCAACTGGAACTGATGACTCAAAGTGAAATAGAGTACATCACAGAAAAGGACTTGCATTTCTATGATGAAGATCAATTATTTATTATTTTAATGAAGATACAGGCATTGCTTTAAATTATCTTCACTAGAAAATATCCAGTGAGTCATGGAATCAAGGAGTCGGAGTGTAAAATGACAGTAGAAATTATTTGGTCCAACATTTCCTTTAGAGGAAACTGAGGCCTAGAGGAGGAAATTGATCTGCCTAAGGCAAATCATCAGAACTAGAACCTGGGTCCCTCGGTTCTAGTTTGCATCCTTTCATTTGACTGTCTCCTTGATCGAAAATATATTAGACCATGAAAGCAAAAATAAATAAAATAAAATAAAATAAAAACCAACAATAGCAAAACTGTTATTTTAAAGAAAGACCAAAGAATGGTATACTTGGCTTTACTTAGTGCGCAGCTAATTGCTGTTTTTTTTTGGCATTTATTTCAAGTTGAGTCTTCAGCCATAGCATTTTCCCCCATATATGCCAATTTATACATTGAAAGCACATTATTTTTTTATTTTTCAAATCCTCAGAGTGATTTATATACATCTTGGAGAGGAATGGACTATTTGGGGAAAGGTTTAGTCTGTATTGGTTTCGAGGGGGCAAAGTCTTTGACCATTTCCTCTCAAAGTAGAATATGTACTCATCCTTCTTCATAGGTGTATGTACTTCTGCAGATCATTCTCTATTATTTTGTGAATCTTTAACCATGTATAGATTAAAAAAAAAAAATGCCCTTTTCATACATACAGTATTGTTCAGTGCAAGTCAATCAGACTTGACCTGTACTTTCCAAGAGAGGATTGCCTAGTGCACTAAAATAAACTTCAGTGGAAATGGTCATCTAGGGTATTGAGTCTCAAGCTTCAATATACACATGCATCGATTCTGATTTTATATTTCTGGTGCAGAGGGGCTGAGATCCGCATTTCCAAGCAGTGCCCAGGTGATGCCATTGTAACTAGTCACTAGAACATACTGTGAGTAGCTTGAATGAATTTGGGCGACTTTGCCAAATATTCCCCTCACTTCTAAGATATTTACATATTGGGAGAAGAGAGCATCCAATATATTGCTTCTGCAATTCCAGAAATCCTGGCAACATGTTCATTTCCAAACATCACACTAACCATGAGTGCAGTTCCTATCAGCATAGGCTTGTTGGGGGTGGAATATTCAACTCATAGAAGTGAGTACAAGTTCTCTATGATCAACTAGAGAATGGACATAGGAACAGATTTGCCCTCAGGCAAAGGGAAAAATAGAGGTGCAGTTCTGTGGGTCATGGGCACTTCCTTTAAAAATGGAGATCCAGGCTTTCTACCGCTTTTGGGGAGATTGCCCTTGGGACGGACTCAGAGATTCTCACTACAACACCCTGACATTTGTGGCTGTTCCCACCACTTCATAGACGCCTGGTTTCTTAGAATATTTATTTGGACGCTCCTCATGTGTGTTTCTGCCTCAGCCAAGAGTTTGCCAATTGATCTGCTCCAGAGACATACGAACTCCTGGCTTAATAGCTTTGTAGCCCAAAACTGCTCAGAAAAACAAAACAAAACCCCTCTTTTTGACATAGTCTGTTAGATGTTTTCACTCTCCTTGTTCACGGTGCTTTATGAAGATTCCCCCAGAGAAGAGGAGAAGCCACAGAGTAGTTCTAAACTCGGAGAAGTCATTTACGGTGTGTGGAGAACCCTAAAATTCTAGGTTGGTAGTGGTGGTTTAAAATATCCTGGAGATAAAAAAAATCAGATAAACTATACTACCCTGTGTCAGAAATTGAATATTCTCATGTGCTTCATATTTCTCCATGGGCTTTGGGTTGGTATGGCATTTCACTCCACAAAAAGGACTGCATATACTAATATGTACGGTAAATACTCATTATAACCTCATAGCAGAAAACACTGTACCCACTGAATACGTAAACAACTGTACTGGGAAGATAGAAAATAGCCTTTTGTTTTACCTAAGTGATAGAAAAATAGTCTTCAAAAATACATTGTTAAACTTACGGGTTTATATTAAAGTAGAATTTTATGTACAGTAAGGCAGTATTCCATTAGCATCCTGCTGTGATTATCTTTTAAATTAAAGTTAGTCTTTTGGGATTTTTTTCTTCACTAAGAGAAGACTAGGGTCTATAATAAATTATCTATTATGCTGATAAGAAGCAGGAAAACATTCTAGAAGGACTCAACACATGAAATTCATTTGCCTCTCATGTAAGAAAATTTTACTTTTCAAAACTATATTCTCTAGAGGCTTTAGAATGAAATACAGTTTAGGGGAGAAAAAAATCTATGCTTGAGAATCCAAACTATTTTAAGAAAGAACTGGAGGCATCATTTTTACTTGCATATCAATAATACATCACTAAGGTATTAGGAACTGATGTAAACAATTGCTGGGTGTTCTGGAATGCATTCTTTTTTAAAAAATGTGTTCTATTTGGTTCATCTTAATAAAATGAAAGGAGTGCAAAGGTCAAGTAATGGGTTTTCATGGCATTTTTCTATCTGTCATCTTCCTGTGGTAAACAGTTTTGACTATTTCATTTCCTTCTGTCATACACCCAACCATGAAAGCCTTTCCCAGAGGCTATACCTGTTGGCACTGTCCCTTACGAATACTAAGCACTGTGCTTTTATTTCATCGAACACATAATTTTATAACTAATGGCACAAAGGAAATCTACAAATCACAGTCAGGAAACAAAATGATTTGTTCTGGAATCAGCTATTGGAGAAAGAGGCAACTGGTTGAACATGGAGCATGGAAAGGCATGAACTGTGAGTTTTAGTGTCATTCTAACTGCATTCTCGAACATTCTCTAGTAGATTGCATTTCATGTACTCTGTAGTGTTACCTGAAGAAAAATCACATTTGAACCAATCATTTCGTTAATCAAGAGATCACTGAAAGGAGTGCATGAAACCTGCGGGATCCAGGTAATCCAACCCACCCAGCTGGAGTCTGCAGTGGCTTGGTGTTGCGGGGTAGGAGGTCAGGTCTTTCTCAGCTTGCTCCTGTGGAAGGGAGGGTGGAGGATCCTTGGCCAGTTCTTCAAATAAAGCCAGGTTTTGACCTCGTGGATCCTGCACTAACACCAGGATGTTGTTATCCATCACCTTGGACACCTTGGCATACTCCTTGCTGGTTTCCAGAGCCCCGGGCTTTTCTGTGGGGTTGCTGTCTGCTTTCTGTTTGGGGAACAAGGACAGCACCCCATCTTTGTTGACCTTGTGAATCTCCACATAATCCAAGGGTTTAGCAGAGATAAAGGGGCTCTTCCCCTGGGGCAGCAGCCATGCTGTGTTGTGATCAGTCTTGGAATGCAAGTTTTCCACCTCCCTCTGCTCGGCTGCCTTTCCCTCCTCTCCAGTCTCAATGGTTTTTGAGGATTTTAAAGCATGTTTGTCTGTTTTGTCCAACAAAGAGGCTGAGGCCCCAGCCGTGCCCACGGCCAGCTTACACACATCAGCAAGACTGTGGTAAGATGATCTGGGGTCGTGCTGGCCGGGGGGCTGCGGCAAAGGCCATGTTGAGGATTTGGATCCACTGGTGTGGAAATAGGGGATTTTGCCTTCCAACCTTGGGTTCTGGGTTTTCCAGGGGTGGGGAACATTTGCTTCGGGGGGATTTTCTGGCTTCTCAGTGGCTTCGGGAGTGTGGAATGTTGGGGGGTTGGCGCGGGGTTCCTCACACTTTTCAGACAAAAGGGAAGGGCTGTCGCAGCTGCCCCGGCCTGAGTCGCTGTCAGGGTCCAGGTGTGTGGGTTTTATCCCTTGACCTGGGTGTTCTTTTGCATGGTTGGGCATCAGCTGCTGGTCCTCACTGTCATCCACTTCTAAAAACTCCACCAGCAAGTCCTCACAGTCAGAAGTCGGGGGGAAGTCTTGGCATCCCAGGGCACTCAGGAGTTCTTCAGACTTGCCCTTCTGTGAGAACACAGAGCAAGGAGCGACACTGTTAGCATCATAACGCTGCAGGTCAGCCCCACAGCAGAGCCTGTGCTCTTGGCTGCCGCAGGTGGGATATGGCAATGGCCTAGCAGAATCTTCCAAACTTCTGACACTTGTGTCCCAGGCCATCTATAATCACCTGGTTCAGTATTTATCCAATTTTTTTCCAAGTAAATTCATTATTTAACTTAGTCTCTAAGCAATAAAGATCCTGAGTTTAATGGGCAAGCAATGTGCACACATATAATAACTACGTCACTATTAAATAAAAGCTTGTCAAGCATCTAAAACCACAGTGCTTATTTCACTTATCATCATCCCTTCCCGCTCCATCCGATTGCCCCAAATGGCATGAGTTTATCTTTTTTGATCTCTGAGTGGTCTTCCATTGTGTATATAGACCACATCTTCTTGATCCACTCATTTGTCTGGGGGCACTTAGGTTGTTTCCATAGTTTGACTATTCAGACAAAGGGTCAGATAAGACCAAACTGATAAACTGGCCCTTGAAGCAGACTATAGGACTGAGGCATTGGGGGTGGGGGTTGGGGGGTGCGGAGGGGTGAACTCAAAGTGAGGAGGGAGCACAATGGATGATGATGCTGGACTGCAGGGACTTTGGTGGTGGGAGTGAGGGGGTAACATCACCAGAAGGGGCAATCCTATACCTCCAAAATACAAACAGTGATGTAAGCCAATATTATGTCAATCAAAAATTTTGAAAAATGAAAAAAAACATACCCCCAAATCACAAGTGCTCATGTATTCTACATTTGGGGCACCACTTTGTCTTAACTTCTCCACTACTTTATCGAGGGTCTGGCAGTAGTAATTTGAGTCTTGTCTCTTCCTTTCTTGCCTCTTTTTTTCTTTTTTTTTTCATTTTATATATTTTTTACATCATTTTTCATTTTTTGCACAATGTGTGCATTTTCATCTTGGTTATAGTCCCCACACAATTCCCACTCCCCTTGTTTTGATCCTACTCCCTTCTCTCCCCCACCGTAGTGTGTCTCTGGTTTATAGTTACTTGTTGACTTTGATTTTTACTTTATTATAATTAGTCTTTCTGCTTCTCTGTTCCCTTCCTTTTCCTTCTCTTCCTATCTTATTTTTTACTTTTTTTCCATTTCCCCTCTCCTCTGCCCTCTGTTAGCCCATCTCTCTCTCTCCTCTTATTCTTCCTCCTCCTCTTACTTTCCACTCTTATTCCTGATCTTATGACTTAGGTCAGATTCTACTGTCTAAATCTCATCTATGTCACTTATTATTATGACTTTGGACAAGTTGCTCTGTGAGCCTTAGTTTTTCCATTTATGAAATGGGACTTACAGGCTCTATTTGGGAGAGCTCTTATAAAGATTAGATGTAACATGATTAAAAATATGAGACTATCTTTTTCACTAAAAAGCAGCTATTTTATCATTAAGTCTTTGTGGCTACAAGGTTGAATTGCAAGCTGATAAGAGTTACATTAGTTAGCTGAGATGTTTATGCTGGTTCTAAAAAGACCAGTGCTAGAATTCAACAGTGGGCTTAAGGCACTAGACTGGATCCCAATTCTTGGACTCTACTCCCTGCTCTTAGTAGCAATCAAAGTGACTGCAATCAAGCCAGAGTCTCTTGGACTCGTTTTTCATGTTGTCTTGCTGTTGACCTCACTGTAGCTGGGTCAAGTGACAGAATGTACAGGTAATTGCTTTTATGTATATCAGTATTAAGCTTAAGGTTGAATTGAAACTACTTATTTCAACCTGAAGAGAAATTTAAAATGTTTTATCCCTCTTTTTATTCAAAACACTTAAATTTAATTCCCTCTCAATCAACTTAAATGGGACCTGGCAAACATGAGCCCCAATGCAATAATTCAGTTTCAACTGAGTGTGAAAATGAGTCCCCCAACAGCAAGAGGATTTTCTGACCTATGTAAAATAAAGAACACTTAAATGAAAGTTTTCACTAAAGTAAATGCAGGGGGTGATAGTGGGTCCCTGCTTTACATTAATCAAAATATTCACCCTCACTTCTTTCCTGTAAGAATGGCTACTGTCTAAAAGACGAGAAAGAACAAGTTGTGGAGAGAAAGGAACCCTCCCTTGTATGCTGTTGGTGAGAATGTAAATTGGTGCAGTCATTATGGAAAGCAGTATGGAGATGCCTCAAAAACTTAAAAATGCAAGTTCCATACCACTTTGTTATGCCACTTCCGGGTATTTATCTGAAAAATATGAAAACACTACTTGGAAGAGATATGTGCATTCCCATGTTAGCTTCAGCAATATTTACAATAACAGGGAACTAGACACAGCTAAGTACCCACTGATTGACCAAAGGATAAAGAAAAAGTGGTATATATACACAATGGAAAGCAATACACAAAGGAAATGCAAAAAAGATGAAATCCTGCCATTTTGCAGTGATATGGAATGACCTAGAGGGTACCATGCTTTGTGAAATAAGCCAGAGGGTTATTTCAAATCTAGTGTTTTCTCACTCATGTGTGGTATATAGAGAAAACAAACAGATGAATCAAATAAAACAAAATAAATTTATGAACTATAATACCAATTAGTGGTTACCAAAAGAGTAAGGGGAAGGAGGGTTGGGTAAAGCAGAAAAAAGGTGACAAGATTTGAAGGACAGATTTGAACTTTTAGCAGTGAACTTAATGTAGTATATTCGCATGGTGATTCTCAACAACGACCACCGGAACCTTCTATAAGGTCAAAATTTGCCCTCTTTCTAAACTGATTATTTGCATAAAATATTTATCTCTGTGCTTATGAGCAGGCCTGGTAAATCTAGCAAGCATTACCAGGTGTTTCTCAATTTCATGGCATTCTTTCCTTACCCTATACATTTAGTATCTTCTTGGAGGTGCCCTCACACTTCACACATCTTTCTGTAAACCATGCTGAAGAGAAGGGCTAGCTGGGCATGGATGACAGAGCCGGCCAGGCTGAGTTGAGGGGGATTGGTGTGCATGTGTGAAGGTAATTATTCCAAAGCAGTGGCTCACTGCATTCTCTACCTCTGGACTTACCTCCAGCAGGTGAGTATCAAATCCTTTTATTTTTGGTCCAGGAACTGGTGGAAGGATGCAGGTCACCATGCTATAAAATAATATGTGAGATAGGGTAAATGGCTCATTTTCTCACTTTGTAATTTTTGAAAGATTATTATGATTCTAAATAGCTGCTACCTGGACTGTGGTTGGTAGGGGTTAGAGTTCTGGGGTTCCACAAGAGTAGCAATCAATGAAGACAAAGAATAACTATTGAGTTCTATGTAGAAATTAGCTTGTCTAACTGATGAGGCTGATTCTGAAACTAGTGGATTATTTGGATTATTTGCTTTTCTTGATTTTAGCTGCTCTTGCCAGCTTGCCACTCACAACAGGGAGTCTCTGTTTGCTGGGAAGAACATCAGCTTTAAACAAGTATGTTCTGTTAGCATGGATAAAAGGTTTTTGTGGGTGCAGACACTGCAACTAATGGCTAAAATGAGGCGCTTCAATTTTCTGTAGGTTTCCATCATGTTTGTGTTGTCCTTTTCCCCCATTATCCCTGACAACCATGAATGGGAAAAGGGATGACAGAGAGTAAAGTACCTATAGCCCTTCAAAGCCACTGCCCAGACCATTATCAAACAGGTGACAGCAGTAAGAACAGCCACAAAAATCCACATGGTCGTATCTTTCATGGTGAAGTCTAAAAAAGCAAAGAGCCAGAAAGTTTTGATCACACACAGCATCATTAACAACAAACAAAAAAACTAAAGAATACAATTTTTGTACATAAGTGGTCTTCCCCTGACTTATATCTCCTTTGATTTGAATACCCCTTAGAATAGCACAATGATGGATTTAATTTTCCCACTATTATTAAATTTTAGTATGTTTTATAATACTCTATAAATTTCAAAATCATTTTATAGGTTATTTTATGTGATTTTCCAAGAGGAAATCCAAGCTTATTTGGTCTGTTGCAGTAATAATAAAAACCATCAATGGTATAAAGCTCTTTGCAAAAATTGCATGATGTGCAAAGATGAGATGAGGGAACTAAGACTTAAAGAGTGATTTACACATGGGTATGTACTATAACGTTACACTCTGGACTTCTGCCTCTGGACCTTATGTTTTCAACAAGTAGGGGCTAGAATAGATGCATGTGTAAGACTTGTGACAGCAGTTCAATATTCTTTATGCTGCCAAGAGCCGAGCCAAACCAAATGCAAGCCTTGATACATTGGCATGGAAATTTGTCAGAAGAGCTAGGCTCTGCCATGTGGTTCTGGGCAAGACCACTAACTTCACAGTGTCAATTTCCTTATTTTACTATTGGTTTTATATTCTTTCTGAATATTATTCTATCTGAATCCTTGAGAGATTTGGGAGGACTAAACAAAATAAAGACTGTAAACCATAAAGTACTTCAGCAATGCAGGGTGAATTATTTGCCTGTGGAATGCAAGCCTCCATGGCTTTAATGGTACTTAGTGTTGAGTGTCTCTTATCTACTGTGCCTTGAGTATGAGACTAACATGTTAATTGATATCAGAGACTGAAAATCAGTTAATTCTCTTCAATGGGACATCACCTTACAAATTCTGGGAGAATTGGATGATGACTTTGACCTAGTGATAGGGATGGGGCAGTTGAGGAGCACAGGAAGACTGGCTATCAAGCCATCTGATAGATGCCAAGTTCATGTCTACAGTCTCATCCTAGAAAACGGTCCCACTGGCAATGACCCAGGGAGCAACACTGCTCTTCAAATGTCTTTGTATTGGGAGAGATGATAAACCTACCCCAAATATTCTTGTGATAAAGGCTAAAAATAGTTTCTCTATTTAGTGGTTACATGAAAACCTAGTAAATTCATAGTGTTTTAAAGATATTTAGGGTTGTAGGCAAAGGGAGCCAAGAAACTCACCATTAGGTATCTGGATGGAGATCTCTGGGCTCCACTCACTCCAATATCCATGGTCTGGCTTGCAGCGAACCTGGACAAGGTATTTTTGTCCTGGATATAGGCTGAGAATCTTAAACTGAGTCTGCTGTCCAGCAAAATGGGTCTAAGAACGAGCAAGGAAAGCAGAAGTTAGTTCTGATTTGTGTTGTAAAGAAAGAGACTCTCCCCATACATAATAAACTATTGGAGGAGTGAGGCTAGAGGATCAGACTTAGTAGAATATCATGTCCTTGGGATATCTATCGATCTCCTGCCCCCTTTTAAAAGTTGCTCATACAAAAATTAATAGGTTTCCTATCTCTCCACTTGGAACTCTATTTCAGAAAGACAAATTCTGTCAGCCATTTCCTCCTTTCAAATTCTACTTATGGAAGAGGTGCAATTAATAACATTGGAAAATTCTAATGTTGTAAATCCCAAAGTGATTCAAGGGTTATTAATTAGTGTAAAATCACTAGATGAAAGAGAACTGGGCACTTATGCAGGCTGATGCCATAATGTATAAATTAAATATGACTTTGCAATCAAGGGATCAAGTTGTGAAATCCCTAAAACAGCAGTTAGTTTTAGCATCATTTATGGTGGGTCAACCGGGTGGTTTGTGTCCTCTGCTATGATGCAAGAAGCACAAAAGATCACCTCTGAAGTATGCCTTCCACAATTGTTCAAACTGCAACTAATCAATCTTTAGATCTGCTTATGGGAAATATGGTGGCAGAGAAATTAGCTAAGCAATGTCACAAAGACTTAATCAGAAATGTAAAAGATAGGACATTTTAGTGGCCCAGTCTCCTGAGCACAGTGCACAGAATACAGGAATACAATGTCCAATCACAGTGTGTGGAGCAAATTCTTCTTTGGATAAACTGTTAATAATATATTTTTGATGCAATTGGCAGAATTTAAATATGGGCTGGCTATTAAATGATAAGGAATTTAAATTCACTTTCTGTGTGAGATGCTAGTATTTTGGCTATGCTTAGAAATGTACTCTTTTGCAAAGAGACATAGTCAAGTGTATTTAAAGGTGGAATGTCATAATGTCTATGATTTCCACCCACATGATTTCTTTACACTGAAGTATTTAAAAGTGAATAAAAAAGCATAATTATTCACCACAGACAGGTTACTCTGAGATCTTTCCCCCTACTCAGGGCCATTTAAGAACTCTCATAGGTGTATCTAGATTAAGATCATCTCAGAAAGTGGCTTGGAAACCTGGTGGAAGAGGTTGCTCAGGGTGAGGATAACCTTGGAAGAGTTGTGAAGATGAGCCCCCACCAAATCCCAATGGAAGGGAGAAGGCTCTTTCACGTCTGGAGGGCTATGCCAGCTTCACGCGGGCAAGATTGTGGCCAAATAATTAGGCGGAATAACCCTTTCTTATGTGAGAACTTCCTCATTCAAGGTCATGGTTCCTTTCTAAAGCTTCTAGTTGACTTACCTCCCACTCAGCTGCCGTCTCTGGTTTTAATCGAATTTCATACTGGAGTGTGAGCCAACCGGATCTTACATCAACCAGGGTGGGTGGAAACCATTTCATCCACAGATATGGTTTTCTGTCTTCTGGTTGTTTTACTTCCAAGGTCAGGTTCACAGGGGGGTCTGGTTCAACTATAGATATGAAAGAAACTGGAGTAGCATTCATTGTTTCTGCCCTTTATTTGGCCCTACTGTTTTCTTAATCATAAATTGTATTTTCTATTTATCATCCCAACTCTATGGTAAACCCTTGGAAGATAAACATATCTGCCATCTGTTAGTATGTGTTCAATCATGTTTGTGCTGAAGATGACATTAGGGTGGTAAGAATAATAAGTGGTTGAGATTTCACTCTTTGCACGTCTGCTCCTACTTTGCACCAACCAGGGTGAGAGAGCTACCTAAGTAATTTTCATGATACTAGGAATCAGGTGATACAAATTCAACTAGGGTTTGCAAGTGGGAGTTAGGGAGAAAGATTAGAGGGTAGGATTCCAAATATCTCTTTCCCTCATCAGGGAACAAGCTTCTCCTCACAGGAAAACACATATAGCATTTGTGATCTATTCATATTTAAATGTTGTAGGTAACTATGGTGACCGAACCTGAGGGGAGAAATCCTATACTGTGAAAAAAATAAGCAAGGATGTTTAAATTAAAAAAAAAATTATAAAACCCTGTCATAAAAGAAGTCTCAAATAAATAAATGCTTTAAGATTAAAAAAATCATAAATTTTATAGGTAATAGTTGAACAAGTTTCATTTTTGTTTCAGTGATAGATTTTACACGCAAACATATTACTCTCTATTATGAATGAAATACTCTCTCCTAGATATTAAATTACTAAAACGTGCCTTTAGACTTTTTGGTAATGTCTCCAGGGCCTTATAACAGCCTTTGACTCATTGGCTAATTCAACATGATTACCAAATTCTAGCAAATTCTAGCAAAACTGGCAAAATGGTAGTGAACATTTTTCAGTGCTTACTGTATATGCCAGCCACTGTATAAAATATTCTGCCTGTTTCACTTGATTTAATCCTCCCAACAGTTCCATGTAGACTTAGAGGAGGGAAAGTTTTTGACTAAGGTCACATATTTACTGAAAGTGGTATTTGAGTACAGAGCAATAAAATTTGGAGGCAGCTCATTCTACCATTTTACTCCATCATGGTTAAGAGACAATTTGAATTTGATATCAGGTGCTGGCCAGTAGGGTGGGATTAGTTTGAGACAAACAAGATGCCTATAGCACAAGATTTAAGGAGGCATAAGTAATGAGAAATCACATGAAAGATGCTCACTATCATTGATTTTTGGGAAAAATAAATCAAACCCACCACAACATACCATTTTACATTCACTAGGATGACTAGAATTCACAAGCAGAGAGATAACAGGTATCGGAATGTGGAGAAATTGGAGCCTTCCTACATTGCTATTGGGAATGTAAAATTGTGTAACCGCTATGGAAAAAAGTCTGAAAGTTACTTAAAAAGTTAAATATAGAATTACCATTTTACCCATCAATTCCACTCCTAAGTATGTTCCCAAAAGAACTGAGAGCAGGAGTTCAAACAGAAGCACTTATCTAATGTTCATAGCAGTGCTATTCATAAGAGCTAATAGTTGGAAATCAAATATCCATTAATTGATAAATGGATAAATGATATCCATATAATGGAACATTATTCAGCCACAAAATGGAAGTACTGATATATGCTATAGCATGGATGAATCTTGAGAACATGACATTAAATGAAAGAAACTAGATATGAAATGATTCCATACATTTGATTCTGCACATATGAAATATCTAGAATAGGTAAATCTATAGAGACAGAAGCAGATTAGTCACTGAAATAGGGTGAGGGTAAGGGGGAAATTGGGAGCCTCTACTAATGAGTCTGAAGTTGGCATTTAGAATGATGAGAGTGTTCTGGAACAAGATAGTGGGGAAAGCTTCATATAATGCTGAAGAACCAAAGCCTGGGGTCACATACTTTTAAGTGGTTCAATGGTGAATTTTATGTTATGGGCATTTTACCACAATAAAAAAAATTAAGGGGGATCTTACTCTCAGTTTCCTTCAAGTACAAGCTCCTCAGTGTCTCTGTGAGAGTTTGGTGCTTGCATAACCTTCAGTTCCCTAAAAAAATGAACTTTAGAAAATTTGTTACTAATCCTAATGCTTAGATGTTACTAAGTATATGCCCGAGAAAGATTGTTTCATATGTACTTATACAACACAAGTTAATTAATATAAATTTTATGTTGAACACAAGACTGAGAAATGCCTCTATTGAAAGAAGTATTTGCACAAAAGAGCAAGTGAGGTAAAAACTTCAAAGGAGACTAGTTCAGACAAACCTACTTCCAGTTCCACCCAGGTCTAGATAAGAACCAGGTTGCCTGTGTCACCCCCACTTTGTTCTACAGATCCTGGTTGATTTAGATAATTTGTCAGTTGGGACCTGCTTGTCTTTTTCCTTTATTCCTTTTCCCTTCTTCTGTCTCTTCCTGTGCTTTAAATTTCCATTTTTATGGCTCAAATTCACGAATATGTACCACATCTTCTAAATTCACTCATCCATCCTCAGCCACTGTTGCTCCTATGACTTGCCTATTGTTAATAGTGTTTTTACACAATGGAATACTCTTCAGCTATAAAAAATAATTATGCTAAATGAAATAAGTCAGAAGGAGAAAGACAACCAATTATTTCACTTACATGTGGAATGCAGAGAAACAAAACGAAGAAATTGATGAAACTAAACTAAAACAAAACCTCAAAATTTGACTGTAGAATTGAGGCTGCCGGAGGGAGAGGCTGGGTAGTCCGGGGGTTGCAGGTGGAGGGGACCCCAGGACTATGGTGGATGATTACAGGTGCTTTGGTGGTGATGACAGGTGTATGTTGTGTGCAAACAACATCCATCTGAACAGGCGTGAAGGAAAGGAACAGGAGACAGCAGTGTGTAGGCGGAGGGCTGGCGGGAAGGGGTGATAAAGGAAATATAAGCAGAATATTCTTGTTGGGTGCAAGGGGATGGGGAGAAGGGTCAGGGGAAAGCGCAGGAAAGCAAGGACCCTAAATGCCAGTCTTACTGTCTCAAAAGACTCTACAACAATTGCTTTAGAACTCTCAGTTGGCAAGGAGATTGAATACAGGAAGACTCAAGTGTCTCTGTTTATTGGCAGGCCCACCATGGAGTAACACATTCCTCAGCACTGTCATCCACTTACCTATGTAAGTCACGTCTAAGTAATGTGGATCCGAGGAACTGCTTCCCATCTGGTTGGTGGCATTTATTGTGATGATGTATAATGTCCATATGGAGGTGTGCTTCTTGTCAAAGTAACAAGAGTTGGGACCACTGGTTTTGTAGTCTGGACATTCATGGGTGAGTGTCTCCCTGCAATGAATATGTTAGGAGTAAATAAGAAAGTAGAAAGAGGAGATCAGTTCTTAAAATAAAACTGCACCAGTGGATTGGGGTGTGTGTGTGAGTGTCAGGTATTGCACACGTGAATACTAAGGTTGGAGAATACCTCCCCAAGCTTCTGTGTCTTGCCCATTTCAGCCTGGGGATGAGACAGGGAAGAACATGCAGCAAAAGGGATCCGAGACTGACTTCAGGGCATCAGTAACCTGCTTCTTGGGGTTCGTGACATATGCCCCTTGTCATTGAGCTTTAAGTGGTCAAAACGCTAGCTTACCCTGTGGTGTGCAGGAAATGGCGCACACATACAGCAGGGGCCACACCACGCACAAGGCGTATTGCAAGTGTGTGTTGAATTACATTTCATTCAAAAAAACAAAATTAAAGAGGATGCAATCTGGTGTCAGAATATTGCAGATTGCCCTGAGTCAGCGACAGAATGAAATGGCCGTGGGCGGGGCTATTTCAGGCTGCAGTCACTCATCAGGCTGTTCACATTAGGTCTGAGCACAAGTCACACTGTCCAGGTTTATTTAGTTTCGGTTGCCAGTTTGAGTGAAATCTGTTTACGCGATACACCTCTGGGCCCCAGAAGGGATGACAGCTTTGTGTACTAGAAGAAAGTGCAGCCACCGGGAAGGGGGCCAGCTGTTGCTACCAGTAAATGTTTTCTTCACTCAATAAGGATATGGCTCTCCCGGGATTTCCAGGGGGGACTCATTGTGAGTGTAACAAAATTCACTCAAAGATGACCTCACTTACTCCGCACTGCACCCTTACGCGTTCCCTGGGAAATCATGGAACTTGAACCAGCCATTTGCTAAAGAAAAGTCCTCACTTTCCTTTCCTCATAGGGCTCTTTATTTTTTGTGGACATGAAAGAAGTTTGAAAAGCTAAGGAGCCAAGATTGTCAAGGATTACATGATAATCCTCTGATGCTGCAAAAGTAATGTTGGTGAAGATAAGTCAATAAATAAATCAGGGGCATAAGGTTCATAGATGAGCATCTCAAGCTAACCAGCCTTAGGGAGCACTTAGACATGACTTTAGGTTGCAACCTCAATGCCTCGCAAGGCATGATGGAGACATTGCTCTTAGTAACCTGGTGACGTGAACTCATGCGCATTGAGAAGGCTCCTCCAGGACACTCACAGGCACTCAAAGTCTGCAGACTTTCAAGTCCTTTCCCTATAGCCTGAGCTTAACTGGTGTCAGTTTAGGGAAGTTCAATCATTCTACCTCAGCACCCGTGTGTCTCAGAGTTCTCTCTCTCACGTGGGGCTTGCTAGGTGAGAAGAGAACGTATTACCCTTCCTTGTGGTAAGTCAGCGTGTAATTGGTAGGAAGTCCTCCGTCTGCCCCGGGCTTCCACCAGCAGGTGAAGGTTTCCTTTTCAGGAGAACGGCATTTAGAGATCTCAGGTTTTCCAGGAGGTGACTGTCCTAGAAAAAGCCAGAAGGTGCTGGATTCAATATTAAGGTACATTGAACCATTTGACCACTCTGCTGGTGACAGAAGCAGGCTTATGGGGCCAGGCCTGTGATGAGGACTCTGGATGAGCAGAGATGCTCTGGGTGTGCAGAGATGCCAGTGTCAGCGTCCAGCACCGCTTTTCTATGGGTTCCCTGTTTTGGGCAGGATCTTAGGGAGGGCCTGGCAGTGCTGGTGGCAGTGATGGCAACGCAGTGGTGGTGGTTTGTGTGTTTGTGCTATGAGATGGACATACTAACAACCCAGGACCAGCGACTGTGAAATCTCAGCAGAGTGACTCTCAGGAGTGAGATGGGTATGTCTGGATTGAAGAGTACGTGGCCCTCTGTAATCCACGGAGTGTCTGAAGCTGCTATCTGCCCAGAGCCTGCGGCTGACATAAGGACATGTCTTCCCCAGGCCAGCGCACCCTGAGCGCCTGGCTGAGAGAGCGCTCGCCAGCTCTTGTCCACGCCACTCACCAATCTGTCTCTCCCATTCCCGCACAACTATCTCTGATCTTCTGTTCTTTTCCTGTATGACTAACACTCCCTTTATTTGGGCTCCCCCTCAGTGTCTTTCTCATCTCACCTTGTCTCCTTCCCTCTTCACTTGCCCTTGATTCCACTCGCCTTTCACCTATAACCCAGTCTCACTCTGGTTCTCCATCCTACCCTGGCCCCATTCTGATCTTGGTTTTCAGGCCCCTTTTCTCTTACATTTCCACCTCTTTCCTTGCGTATTTTCAGGTGGGTGGGAGAGGACTTTCCTGTAATCCATGGCCCTTTTTGAAGTGGAAGGCATGGAAAGCAGCGGAGCGCTCCTCAGCTGGTTATAAAATATTATTTTCTAAGAGCTGCGTCTGGTTCCAGCTGGAAGCTGGATGGTCTAAAGGGGTGATGACAAGAGGATGGAGTTTTTAGTTACTGTGTCCCCAGAGCTCTTGGTGAGTGCTTCACCTCCTCTCTCCTGATCTGTCAGGTTTGACCCTGGTGGTTTGCCCTGATGCTGCTGAACTGGGGAGCCTGACTCTACCCGCCCCCCCCCACACATACACAGCCCCAGCTGACCCTCCTTTTGGCTGCACTAGCTGCCCCAGTGTTTATTCTGGGAAACCTGGCGCAGAGAAGAGAAGTCTCAGGTGTGGGTCTCAGCAAGTTTAGGAGTTCTCTGTTTTCTCCCACACTTGTCCCGCCATCCCTCATGCTGGCTGCTAGGCCAGAATCGCAGATCAGAAAGAGCAAGTTTGGAGGCGAACGTGGATGGGAAGAGGTGGCATGAAACTGCCCAGAAGGAAGAATTTCATGGCATGACACAGTGCACGAGCTGACAGTGGCAGCCGGACCTGAACTACACCCCAGCTGCCAGTACCCCAGTCAGTGTAGGCCGGCCAGCCTGTGACCGCTGTGCCAATAGCTGTAACATTGCTCCTTCTCTGGGGAGAATTTCTACAGGATAATCAAAGGTTGAAGGGAAGTTTTGCTGCTTTTGTTTTTTTTTTGTTGTTGTTGTTGTGATTGGGTAGTCCTTTTTGTTGTTTTAAAAGTCCATTAAACCCTATGGCTTAATAATGAGCATATTCAGAAGCCAACAAGGGTAGCTGTTGATTATATGTACTTAAAGCACTTAAGTACTTCAAGTTTTCCTGTGGATCCCACTGATAGCTGCTTTCCCTCTTTTCTCTCTCTGAAAGTTTCTCTTGTACATATCACTCATTATTGAGTAAGACCTCTAGGGAACTCAAGAATGAAGGTAGAGTTGTGAAATTACAATTAATCCAATGTTCCTTTCATCCACTGTAGTGGACATGGTTAAATTTTTTTTTTAAAGATTTATTTTTTTATTTTTATACAAGAACCGGGGTACAGGCCAGATGCACAGGAGGATGAGAGGATTCACTGGAAACAGAACAGGGAACAGAACAGGCAGACTGAAGAAATACACTGCTGAGGGGAGCAGCGGGCGAGACAGGAGAGGTCTGCTTCGCCATGTGGGATTCTCGCTGGCTGGCCAGGATTGAAACCACGCTGCAGAGGCTGTGGACAGCTTCACAGTGTGGCACTCAACTGCCTGTGCCACCAGGGAGGCCTGACATGCTTAAAATTAATGGTCTGTCTCACTCTCCCCATAAAATGCATACAGACACAGGGACGACTACATAGATACACACACAGGTACACACACAGGCTCACAAGGAGCCCACATCAGAAACACACATGCACACACATACACACACACTACTGAAATATTCACAGGTGCATTCTTACAGGAGTACACGCTAGTACACACAGACACACACACAGCAGTGTACACACAGATATATACTCACACTGGTACACAGAGAATCATTTGCAATCAGACACCTATAGAGAAGGCAATGTACACACAGGTATATACAAACATACACACATACAGGACTACACAAGATGGACACACAGAAACATTCACACACTCGAGGTTAGTTGTGAGTGTCATTTCCCCCGTAGGCTGACAACACTGGCGTCCTGCCACTTAACAACAATCCCTTCTGTCTCTAGTTTCATACACAATATTTCATTTGATGTGGAGGAAACATCACTCTCTTTACTTTGAAAACATGAAAATCCAGAGAGATGGGTTCATTGGCTCAAAGTCACACAACTAACTAGGAGCTGACAAAGTGTGGAGTAGAACCATCTGGTCTTGTCATTGGTAGATCTGCTTCCAGCACTCCCAGAAGGAGCGTGGAAGTTAGAACACTGGGACAAGATTTTGCGTTCATTTCATTAAGTCTTTTGCATTAATTTGAATCCCCTGAATATCGCCAATAATAGCAGCAAGTCATGTGGCTAATTTTCATTTCTCATTACTGCATTGCAAGAGGAAGGTGATGGGCTTCCTACCCATACACACCTCAGGGAATGCAAAAGAACAGGACGGTCTCTTACTTACCATTCAGAAGACTGATGTGGAGAAAAAGTAGCAGAATGAAAATAAGTATGGAGGCCATGCTGCCCTTCATGTTGGCTCCCTCCTCTGTCTGCAGGAAATGGATCAGAAGTTCACTGAAAGAGAAAGCACCAGGCAGCTGTTTTGAGATGACAGTCTGGGCAGGCACATGCACCACTTTGCTCTGGGTGTTTGCAACTGGTGCTTGCTCCTTGTTGAATGTGAATGACAAAACAGGAGGAAAGGAATGTAGGAAAATGTAACATGGTCGGATGGTTTGGCTCAGAAGCATCGGTGCACACTTGCTGGGAGAAGTTTCACCACCAGAGGTCATCAGTTGACAATTCTCGGGGGGGGGGGGGGGGGGGGCAGCCGGGCAGCAGTCATCTCCTTTGCATACACTCCCGAGAAAAATTGTTCTCTTTCTACCTCACAGTCCCTGACTATATAGCTAGCGCCCATTTCACATGACAGACACGGGATGACCTACAAGAGAACTGTTCTGGAAGGGCTTTGCTCCACTAGCACAAACTAAGCCAGGTTAAGAAGCCAGTACACCTGGTACGGCCCCGGCCTGGGCTCACTGATGCCACCAAGTTGGAGGCAGGGACGGTTTCCTCTGGAGGTTCAGGCTGAGAAGTTTCTGGAAGACTTCTGGGCTATGAATATGCCCCCGAACTACACAGTGAACTCTAGTGAACCTGCACGTGGTTTCTTTCTCCCCCTTGGAAAAGCCCCATAAACAAGAGATGACAAACCCTAGTCATATTTCAAGTGCCTTGGGTTTGGAGTATTAAGTAAAGCTTGAACCTGCAAGGGTTGAGTGTTTTGAGCAATTTATTATGAATATTATTATTTTTACCCTGGGAACAACTTTCAAAGTCTCTAAATGTACTTTTAAGAAAAAAGGATTTTTCAAGACATTTGAAAAGGCTCATTCATCTTGTTGGGCTCCAGAAAATGCTCAGAAAACAATAGATTTGACAAACTTAAGTGTAAATTCTCGGAAACACATGGCGTACATTTTCCTTTAAATTTTGTGGACTTTTTTTTAAAGCAAGAGAAGGCCGTCCAGGGGCAAGGCTGCCCATTTGAGAAGGCCGAAATGACTGAGTATTGTTTGATGAAGCCTGAACCACCAGCCTTTGCTCATCCCTCCGGCCAGAGGGCGGTTCCCCATCTGCCAGCTGGATCTCACTAAATAGACAACTTCTTGAAGCCTTTGGCACCTGCTCCAATCCCTGAGACATACTTGGAATAGAAATCTTAGTGACAACAGATTTTGGGGCACAGACACCCCATCAAATGACTCGCTTTTATTGAGGGTCCTGGTTCAGTAACAGCTCTGTTCTTTGGGGACATTCCAGTCACTCACCCAGGATTCCTTCCCAATGCCCCCCTCTGCCCTCCCCAAACTGCATCTTCTAAACTGCCTGCTCCATCTAATCCTTTAGGGTCAGGTCACCTGATTTAAATCAACTTTTTAAGGCTCAAATGGGTTAAACTCTACCCATATGGAGTCCTTTCTATGCGCCAAGCACTGTGCTATGTATTTAAATCCTTTACATTCCACCCGGAGTGGAATGTAACAGCCCCATGAGTGGCCTAGGTTACTATCATCCATTCCCTTTTAACAGATAAGACACTGAAGTATAGAGAGGTCTAGAAAATTGTCAGTTCCATGCTATCAGGAGAGAGAAATCTGGTAGATATGAGAGCAGCTGATATACTACACTGACTTGCAGATAGTGTATGGTGGATGGTGCATTCACTCCCTTCTATGGGGGAGGCAGTGGAGACAACAGAGCTGGCCCCAGCTGAACACCACACCAAGACTCTGCAGGTATGGGGCCAGGAGAGACAGGCCTTGGAGCTGTCGCCTTGGCCTCTAGCCCTACATGTGCCTGAGAAGTACCTGGGAAGATTTCTTTGTCCTGGAGATCTGGTGATCTCAACCTGGCTTAAGCATGGCATTCTGTCCACTGGCTAAAGAAATTCTATGTTCTTTTATTGAGACATCTCTGCTCTTTTGAGCATTGCATCAAAGCGCTTGATGTGATATGCTGTAAATCACACCTTTTGGGTGAGATCAGATGCTGTCCAAACAGCTCTACCCAACCAAGGCTCCATGTGTTTTGCAAAAGAAATGCCTGCATGGTGTGCTGGATGAGGGCAGGTAGGAGTAGATGTTATTATTGCTTATTCTTCCTGGCATGCTGATCCTGGCTCAAAGAAACTCTTCTACATACATAAGATGGGGTGAGAGTTATAAAGGCAGCAGACTTTTGGAGACTTCAAAAGTGAGAAAGCCAAGGAACTCATCACGAGCAAGGTGTGGAGCGCTGACTTGCTACAGACCTGGCCTTTAATTCCAAGTCTTGCATTTTTAAACCACAGTCACACCCAAGGAGCTAGTGAAGAGTGAAGCCAAGATAAGTGTTCTCAGGCAAGGGTGGGGTGGGGCTGGCTCTTTCCTAACTGGATTCCAAATATTGGGACCATTTGCCACTATAACCATCATAAATGTTGACTGTGTACTCTCTTTGGGTGTTGCAGCCACAGATGGGTGGAGGGGTGGGAATAAGAAGGGCCCTTTATCAAGATCCTGCTTGTAGGTGGAGTGGACTCGGAAAGACAAAAATCCCAATATATCCCTAATTTAGAGTCTACCAGCCATAAAAAAAAGGGTTAGTGGACAGTGGGACATGTGGGGACTGGTGGGGAAAACCAAAATATGTGCTTCCTTAGAAAGGATGCTTCCTTAGAACTGAGAAGTTGTGATTATTTTTCTCTCTGAAGGTTACTTACCCCACTGCATTTGCCCTGCTGGGGAGTGAGATGTGGGATGGGTTGGAAAATCATAGTTGAAATGCTATAACAACACCACTGTGACGATGTCCTTCCTATTCTGTGGCACAGGGGTTTCAACACATCAGAAAGTGTGTGTGGCTAATATCCAGATTCTAGGAGGTCTTAGGAAATCTTTTTTTTTTTTTTTTTTATTTTTTTTTTTTATTTTTTAAATGTTATAACTTTTTATTTTGAAATAATTATAGATACACAGAAAATTGCGAACATAGTATAGAGGGCCGATGTACACCTCAGCCATTTCCCCTAATAGCTATAGATATATAAATTATCAAAATCAGAATGCTGAGACATTGTTGTGATATGTATGTGTAATTCATTGCTTTATCACATGGAAAGATTTCTACAGTAATCACTACAGCAATCAAGATACAATTCCATTCCATCACCATGAAGACAGCACACATCCCTTCTCTCCCCGTCCTAGCCCAAGACAACCATTAATATGTTCTCTGTCTTGATAATTTTTACATTTTGAGAAAGTTACAAAATTGGAGTCATGCAATATGTCACAGTTTGAATGACTTTTTCACTCATCATAATGACTTTTTCACTCAGCATATGTCCAAGATTTTGTGTGTATCAATCGCTTGTGGCTTCTTACTGCTGAAAAACAGGCTAGTCTGTAGGACAGATGTGCCTCAGTTGGCTCCATTTACGTGGCCATCTGGGTGGTTTCCACTTGTGGACTATTAGAAATAAAGCTACTATAAACATTTGTGTATATATATTTTCCTGTGAACATAGGTTCTCATTTCCCTGGGATAAGTGCCCAGGAGTACAGTTGTGGGGTTGTAAAGGAAGAGCAGTTAGTTTTATAAGAAACGGCCAAACTTCCCCAGAGTGGTTGTATCATTTGATATGCCCATCAGCAGTGTGTTTTATTTATTTATTTTTTTTTTTAAATATTAAATTTTATTTTTATATTCCCCCATACAATTGCAAACGCCCCATTCTGACCCCAATCCTTCCCCTCCCGCCCCCCACCCCCCAAAAAGTGTCTCTGGTTCATAGTTTTTTGTTGATTTTGATTTTCACTTTCTTATATTCATTTTCCTGGTCCCTTATTTAAGTTTTCTAGATTCCTGCTATGAGTGAGACCATCCGGTATTTTTCTTTTTCTTTTTGGCTTATTTCGCTGAGCATGATCCCTTCCAGTGCCATCCATGTTGCTGCAAATTGCATGTGTTTATCTTTTTTGAATGCTGAGTAATATTCCATGGTATATATGTACCACATCTTCTTGATCCAGTCATCTATTTTTGGGCATTTGGGTTGTTTCCAAAGCTTAGCTATTGTAAACAGTGCTGCTATAAACATAGGAGTGCAGGTGCTCTTTGGAATTGATGTTTCTGTGTCCTTTGGGTAAATACCTAGGAGTGGAATTGCTGGATCATATGGAAGCTCTATGTTTAGTAGGTCCAGAAATCTCCACACAGCTTTCCATAGTGGTTGGACCAGTTTGCACTCCCACCAACAGTGCACAAGAGTTCCTTTTTCTCCACATCCTCGCCAACATTTGTTGTTGCTAGTTTTTTTAATATGTGCCATTCTCACTGGTGTGAGATGGTATCTCATGGTAGTTTTGATTTGCATTTCCCTGATTACAAGTGATGTTGAACATTTTTTCATATGTCTGTTGGCCATTTGCATTTCCTCTTCAGAGAAGTTTCTTTTTAGCTCTTCTGCCCATTTTTTGACTGGATTATTTTCTTTGTTGTTGCTGAGTCTCATCAGCTCTTTGCAGATTTTTGTGATCAGTCCTTTATCATTAGTGTTGGGTGCAAAAATGTTCTCCCAGTTGGTGGGGTTTCTCTTTGTTTTTGTTATTGTCTCTTTTGCTGTGCAGAAGCTCTTTAATTTGATGTAGTCCCAGCTGTTTATCTTTCTCTTCACTATCACTGCTTTGGGTGATGTGTCTGTAAAGATGTCTTTGATGTGCAAATCCCGTAGTGTTTCGCCTATATTTCCTTCTATGTGTTTTATGGTTTCAGGTCTTATGTCTAGTTCTTTAATCCATTTTGAGTTGATTTTTGTGTATGGTGTGAGGTAGTGGTCAAGCTTCATTCTTTTGCATGTAGCGACCCAGTTTTCCCAGCACCATTTATTGAACAAACTTTCTTTGCTCCAATGCATAGTCTTTGCTCCTTTGTCAAAGATTAGTTGACCATAAATCTGTGGGTTTATTTCTGGATTTTCTATTCGATTCCATTGGTCTGTATGTCTGTTCTTGTTCCAATACCATGCA